CCCCGCCGTACGACAAGCGTCGCGACCGCCTACTCCGAAGCATCCCCACGCGCTCCTTGCAAAACCACAGCCCCATGAAAATATTCTGCTTTTCAAGTTAAAATCCTGAAGAGCAGATTCCAGGTTGAATCCCCAGATGGGTTTCTGCGCATATTAAAAGCACAGCCGGCTTCCAGTGCCAGGGCGCGCGAGACAGAATTAACGCTGTTCCTATTTATAGGGCTTTGATTAGGAGCTCGTCACCTAGAAGTTTTTATTCCCTTTATCCATTTATAAGGCCATAACACAGTTTGACTAGCTCCAGATAGGCTGGTGTCCCACCACCTTTGCCAGAACTTAATGTGCCATTCAGATACAGTTAAGCCAGTAATAGGCAGCAGCCTGTGCACTGCAGGGTTTTAACTGCCACAGAAAACACTCTTTAGCTCCCGTCTCGCCCCCGCTCGTCAAGCCGCCGCTGCCGAGGCTGCTAATCCCCCCTAAGCATCCCAGCGCTCCTGTCAGCAAAACGCTTTCTGGCTCCAGACAAATCCTCCCAAAGAGTTTTGCTGAGCATGGACTTTCCGCCTGTCCAAAGCCTATAGACAAGCTAAAGCACCTGCCCTCGGGGATAATTCCACTAAAATTGGGCGAAGCGCGAATTTGTGCCAGCTTTATTTTCTGTTAAAACCTGGGAGTATTTGCAAAAGACTTTTCTTCTGGAATGCGCCCAGCCCGTGGCTCAGCTGCAGAGGGAGGGGGTTAGGCCAGCTCGGCAGACCGGAGGTCTCCTGGTGAGCAGGGAGCAGGATCTCGAGATGCCTTCTAAAGGGAGCTGGCAGCAATAAAGCAGCCTACCCTGCCGAGGCAGCTTGGGATTGCTGGTCCCTATCCTTGCTGGCAAGCCTGGGTCCTTGCTGGCTACCACGTTGTCCTTGCAATCAGCAGGGTAGCCCCAAAACCCACACCGTCCTGGGGCTGTCCCCTAAACCATGCCATCCACCCCCGCTCATGCACCGCACCCACATCCCATCTCAGGCCAAGAAGCCCAACCAGACGCATCCCTCCAGCCCCATCCATTGCCTTTTCTCCTCCAGCCCCAGCTGCTCCAGAGCCCACACCGAGTTCCCATCCTGGGAGAAACCCACTCACCATCCTCCCTGGACTTCTGGATGAAGGCCTCCACGCCGCTTTCACCATAGCTGCCCTCGGAGGCCAAGGTGGAGACATAGTTCCACTTGAGGGCTTTGACGATGTCCACCATGGCTTGGGCCTGGTAGGTGTCAGACGGCACGACGCGGGAGAAGAAATCGTAGCGGCTGTTGTCGCTCAGGTCCGGCGCGGTGGAGGCGTAGCTGATCTGGGGGATCTGGGATGGAGGGAAGAAAGACGAAGTGTCAGGAGAAAGAGGTGATCTCTACCCCACTGCAATGCCCTCTCCTTGCCCATGCTCCCAAAGAGTTGCTCTGGAGCAGATGAAGGTGGGAGTCAAGGAAGACCATGGGTCAGGTGGGAACATGTGCTACCAGACAGACATGGGATGCTTCAGAGCACTCAGGACCAGCACCTTATGGAGGGAGACCATGAAGTGGAGGGTTATCAGCTCTTCTGGGTCTTGGTGGAAACCTAAAGGCTTTGATCTGGTGATTTCCACCCATCACTGGGCACGGGAGACACAAAACCCATGCTAGGACACACATCTCCTCCACATGCTCCAGTCTGATCCAAACCCACACACACCGATGTCTGGGAAGGGGGAAATAAAACCATCAGAAAGCGCAGAGCTGCTGCTTTACACTTCTGCCTGCAGAAGCACCTGGCTCAGCAGAGCCCAGCAGGTCAGAAGGGCTCCAGGATCTCCCGAGGATGAACAGAAACCAGTCCCAGGGCAGAGCAAACACCAACAAGTCCCTTCAAGGTCCACTAAGGAGCCAGGCAGCCCTGGGCTTTGCAGGGAGAGGTTTAGAGCATCCCAAGCTTTCATTTCTGCATGTAACACGCCTGCCTGCCCGCTTTGATCTCCCCTCCGTGCTCCCTGGGTGCCGGCCAGCACGAGAGCTGGGGGTGCCTCTGGGTGCTGCCTGGGCAAAGGGGACCAGCACCAGCTGGGGGAAGCAGGTACCAAGCCTTGGCTGTGCAGGCTGGCTCAGCCCTGGAGACTGCAGGGCTCGGGGACCACCCAAAGCTCAGCGACACCCAGCAGGACCCCAGAAAGGTTTCTTGAGCATCAGATGTGCCCAGCATGGGAGAGGCCAAAGAGAAAACCTTACTTCTGCCCCGGACAGCACTGCTAAGGTCTCCCTTTGGCTTCCTGCCCTGGGAAGGACAGCTCTGACCCCAGCCTGCCAGGTCCTGTCCACCCAAGCCATAAATAAACCCTTTAAATTAACCAGAGCTGCCGCGCCTCGCACAGTACACTAGAATGATTTAGCACCGCAGGATCATGCTATGCTTAACACTTACACAGCACTTTACATCTCCAAAACACACTACAGATATTAATTTATCTTAAAGATGGAAAAGGTTTATTAAATTATCAAGCCCACGTTCTCCCTACTCGCATGGAGCTCCCAACCAAAGACACACCGAATACCGAGACAGCCCCATCCATCATCCCCTCGTCCCACGCGCGAGCAGGTACCTGTCCGGGGTGCAGCCCGACACGTCGCGAGGGCTGGCAGAGCCCTGCCCAAAACCTGGGCAAGGTTTTAAATCCAGCAGCGATAGAATTGCAGGGGCTGGAGCTACGGGGCAGCAGCGCTGCAGAGACAGCGACAGCCCTACCTGGAGCTGGCACAGCCTGGGGAAGGGTCCGGCCACCCGCTGCCCTCTCACTTTCCCACAGATTCTGCTTTACTGCCAGGACAGAGCAAATGGAGGAGGAACAGCCCAGGGCATCGCCGATCCCAAACCTCCCCCTGCCTTGGGCGCAAGCAGGCACAAAGCAGCAACCCCCAGCTCCTAGAAGCCTTCCCCCTCTCCTGCTCCCTCTAATCCAGTTTAGGAAGAACTCAGTAATCCTGCTTGCAGGAGCACAAATGCTGCTGGAGCCATGCAGGACTACAGTGAATCCCAGAAATCCCCCAGCATCAACAGGCACCTGGGTCTTCCTGGATGCCCAGATCAGCCCAGGCTGCCTTTGGCCTCACCCATCACCACTCCTCATTAAACAATTAGCCAATTCCCAGCGGCAGAGACACCTGGGTGGGCTTGGAGGCGATGGGGAGAGGTTTGGGGTCTGTGGGGATCACAGCTGGTGCTGTAAGATCAAGCCACCCTGCTGGGAGCCCGGCTGCGCAGCAGCATCCCAAGGATGGGGAGGCTCAGCCTGGAGCCTCCCGGCTCTCCCAACCCACCCCATCCTCCTCCGCTCCTGCTCCCAGGCTGCACTTCACAGTGTGTTTCTCTGTTATTCTCCCCTCTTCCACTTCCCTCTCTCTCTCTATTAAATACGATACCGGTGTTATAAACCACGACTCCACCTGAATGCTAAAAGGCCCCTGGAAAGGAGCAGGCACCCTTCTACCCACCTGCGAAATATAAGATGAAAAAAGGGAGAGATGGCGAAGGAGTGGGAGAGGAAGGAATCTTTATCAAGGCACAAATAGGATTACTCTGTGACAATCTGCTTTGTGCTCCTTACCGAGGGGCTGTGATCTGCTCGTTGGGTGTCTGTGACCGGGAGCCGGCGCATCAGACTCGATTAAAATTCTGCTCAGCAGGCGAGGCGCTGGTCTGGCAATCATTCATCCTGGGGAGGGAACAGGGGGGGCAGGACCCCGCCTCGCCCGCAGCGGTGCCGGCCGGAGGATGGACACGGGGGATCGGGGCGGAGGCGATGCACGCAGCGTGCCCACGCGACGGAGGGCAAGCGTGCGGGGGAAGCAGCCGTGCCCACATCAAAGGGGATTTGGGGGCAGGAACACAACCCGGCCTTTCCAGAGGATCCTTCCCCAAGGATTTTTTTTCCTCTGCAAAGCGGTTTAGTTTAAATCGATCTCTGCCTCCTCAGCAGGGCACTGGCGATGGAGACTTCCCAGCTATTCCCCCGGTGACACCGGGAATCCCAGCCAAGCCCAGCTGGCCAGGACACATCCCAGTTTAACCCCCGGGCTGCCCATCCTGCTCGAGCCCCTGCTGGAAAACGAAGCCTAGAAAACACCTGTTGATCTACAGGCTGCGAACTGGAAGCTGTGTTTTAATAAACAAACAGAAAGAGCTTTTCTCTTTCGCTCCTCTGCTTGGGATGGAAGTGAAAATAAAATACCAGTTCCCAAATGACCGTTTTGTAGACTTCTGCCTTTTTCCGCCCCCCCCTACCTTTTTGATCTTGTGGTCTACAATAGCCCAACTCCCGGCACCAGCTATTTTCTCAGATAAAAGACAAAATTACTTTCAGGTCCATAAAAGCAAAATGCAGGCAGGGAATTCAAGGTTCTTAGAAAGAAGATGGATGCGGTGGGGAGGGGAAGCTGGAAACATCTCTCAGCTACATATCTGGACACCGGTGGTACCTTGCCTGGCTCATCTCCAGCCTGGGATAAATACCATGGTGCTGGTGGGGAGGTCAGCAGGAGCAGCCCTCCTGCACCCCAAGGCTCCCTCGTCCCATCAGAAGTGAGGAATAATCCCAGGGCAGGGGGATAAAACCTCCTTCCTCCCTTATTTTGAACTGAAAAACAAGAATCAGCATCATCCAAACCCACCCCCAGCCTGCAGAAATGTCCCCCAGGGTAAGAGAGCAGGCAGGAGCCAGGGTTGGGGTGTTATCCTGCTCCCCCCAGCCCCTGGGTCAGGGGATCTGCTGTGATCAACCTCAAACGCACCGCAAAACCACCTTGATTTGGTACCCGTTTCATTACTGCCAGCTGACGAGCTGATGCAGCACTCTCTCTGCCGGCGGCGGCGGACAGAATCCCCTTCAGATCGGGGAGAATTCGGCACAAGCAGTGATTTCAGTGAGGCCCCAGCCCAGGTTCGCCGGGCTGCCACGCTCCGACTTCAACCATCAACCCGAACATCAGCCTGAGCAGCCAGGAGGGAAGGAG